TATTATCAACTTGTTTATCGCTTTATAGTGAATTGGGCTAAACCCACATCAAGCTGCAAAATTAGGTATTAGCCTAAAAAAGGGCACTCCACTCCTCGTGCCCCCGCCCTTATTGAAGTCGGCACTGATTGACAGGTGAAAAAAATGGCATCCCACTCCTCCTTGTGTAGCTGCCCTTATTTAAGTTGCCCTGATTGACAGCCACTTTTGCGTTAAAGAACAGAAGAGTGCTGGGAGAAATTCAAGCCAAAGTCATGACAGTGAACAAGGCAAAGACAAGACACATCAGGGTAAAAGCACATGTACTTAAACCTATTTGAAAACAGCACACAATAACACAACCAGTCTGCCGCAATTATGCTCAAGTACAGAGGGGGGAGAAAGAGGAGGGAACACACCAACAGGTCAAAACATGTGCTGCGGTTACCACACCACTGTATTTGTCATATTTCCCATGAGTAACACCAAAAGCAACCTCGCCTTTTTCAAGCATTTCTATCAGCAGCTTCCTTTGGGTGGAGCAAGTAAGCTCTGAAGGAAGGGGGGGGGGAAAGGAGCCTTAACTCTTTCTCATGACAGACAGAAAGGACTTCAAATGTTAGGCAATGGGAGTACCAAGGGTTAAAACTTTTTTTCTCTCCCCAAATCCCACAATAGTTTAAACAGGAAAAAGAAAAAAGGCAACCTTCCTTGCAAAGGAATATTCAAACTACATTTTAAATTTAGCAGACCTCTTCTATGTTTGCAAACTGCCGGGGAAACTGTTTGCAGGCTGCTTACTCACAGGAACGGGGCTTACTCAAAGGAAAGCCTTCTTAGCATTGTACTGTAACTGCTATAACATTAACACATGTGGGGGAGGGGGGTAATCTGCAACAACAGTTAGCAATAGGTCTGCCCTATCACACTAGAAATTATTACTCCCAAATTAGATCCCTGTTACACTGAAGGGGGGGAGACATGCAGTAAATTCCAAACCATCCTGAGAAGAATTCACACTCAGTTACTTGCCTGGGGAACTTCTGCAATACTAAGAAAGTACTTTCCGTTCCCTTGGATGGATACTATTCTTGACATCGATTCTCTGTCTGTGTTGCAGCAAGTAGACGAGGGTGGGTTTCCCTTGGGTGTGGGAGTTTTCTTACAACTGCTCTTACCATTAGAAACTACGCAGGCTCTCCCTCTCACCCTTTTTACTCATTAGATGAGTTTAGGTGTTAATATTCTGCTCTTCTGGGTGACCAGGAAAGCAACGTAATAAAAGGTGGGGGGGGGACCAAGTAAGGACAAAACGGTGCAAACAGATTTGTTAGGGGAAAAACACATGAAGAGTTCCAAGACATTTTGAGCTCAATTTTTTTTCCCCAGGGATGAGAGTAATGTTTAGTTTCAGAAGCCTTCCAAAAACAGTAACAAAACATTTAAGAAGATATTATGCAGCAGAGCCAGTGTAGTGCAGCAGTCAGAATGGCAGACTAGGCTCTGGGAGACCCAAATTCAAATCTCTGCTCTGCCAGGGGAGCTTGCTGAGTGACCTTGGGCCAGTAATACAATTAGCCTAACCTACCTCACAGCATTTTTACAATGATAAAACAGAGGACAATGTAAGCTGCTTTGGCTCCCCAGCAGTGAGAAGGTGGAATACAGATTAAGTCAATGAGACATTATCACCCTGCCACCGAGTCATACGTATATGTCACAGCGCTGTTTAAGCTGCGTGAGTTTTTAAGAGTCACAGGCAAGGGACCTATTGGAAAGGAAATTTACAACTGGTCCTATCCCAGGGGCTTAACAGCAAATACGGAAGTAGTGGAAAGTGCCATCAAGCCACATCCAATTTATGGCAACCTCGTAGATTTTTCAAGGCAGGAGATGTTTGGAGGTGGTTAGCCATTGCCTGCCTCTGCGTAGCAATCCTGGACTTCCGTGGTGGTCTTCCAGCCAAATACTAACCAGGGCCGATCCTGCTTGCCTTCCAAGATCTGACTAGATTGACCTAGTCTGGTCCATCCAGCTCAGGGCAACAGAAATTACACCTCAAAGAAATGTTCCCATTTCTAACACTACCACTTAGCACAGGGGGGGTGCCAAACATAAGGCCCAGGGGCTGGAACCGGCCCCCAGGGCTCTTAAGCAGCCCATGAACAACCAGTGCAAGGGGGGGGGCAGGAGACTGCTCGGGGAGAGTGGATGGAGCCAATCCGATCATGGCTTCAGCATAGCAGAACAACTTCATCTGCAGAAGTCAAGCAGCGTGGGAGCGTCTGCCCAGTGCTGCACTGTTGGCTCTCCAGTCCGGCAATATGGGTTTTCCTTTGCACCCCCCTCCCAGCCCATGAGGCCTTGCAGAAAGGATACACCAACTCGGGGTATACCAGTTGCTGTCCTTTATACAGTTTGTATCTCCAGTACCTAACATTACCTGTTGTATCTCCAGTACCTAACATGGCCTGGCCCGACAAAGTGACATTTATGTCAGATCCTGCCCTCGTAGCAAATTAATTTGACACCTCTGTCTTAGCACTTACACAGTACTTTCCTTAAGTGCTTCACAGTTACCCAGCACCACCACTGGTGAGACTAGTATTATTCCCATACTACAGATGCGATCTGAGGGTGAACAACAGGGGATACCCTGGAACTTCGATATGAATATGAGATCTGGACAGGTTCCTCATACTCAAAAGGCAAAGACAACTCCCCTAACACAGTTCCCCTTTGGATGTTACCAACAAGAGAGCCACCAGTTGATAGGTCTTTTCTCCCAGGTGGAAAGTTTGGCCATGCTTGTGGGCCAACATCCAAAGCCCATTCACAGCCATCGCAGTCCTTCACCTTGCAGTACATCACAAAGCCCTTAGTTTCCCAGAGTCTGATGGAAAACCCACATACAGCCCTTTATTTAAAAACCATGTCCACTCAATGAATGAACACAATCTGTCTGCTCTTAACTCCTAACAGGACAACGTATTTAATTTTGTTTCCCTTGGGGGTGGGGGGAATACTCTGAAGCTTTTGGCTACTTTAGAGGCAAACTCAATGTGCTTGTATCAGACAGTAGGGGTGAACAGGTCATTCTGAACAGGAAAAAGAGCATTCAGGAATGGGCCATCTCCTGATTAAAAAGAGAACAGCCACAGGGAAATATCAGAGCTCAGCTGAGGAGACAATGCATGGGAAGACAGAATGTGAAGAATTAAGCTGTACTCTTTATCCATATGGCCACCTGTGGTTAAATATGAATTCCCGTCCCCCTTTTATTTACAAGGATCTGCTGCCATCACATTTAGTTTGTCCCTGATCCATGGCCAGGGACCAAGTTACAAAGCTACAGATAATGGAGAAATATGTCAAGTCACAACAGTATGGAGCAGTGAGTTGGCCATGTTTTTCCCAGAATGCCGTGCACAGCAGGAGGTATACAGGAGATAATTAGTAGAGAACCCTGCATGCAGGAACTTAAAAGATAGTTAAAGCAGAAGACAAGGCCAATGTACAAAAATTACTTGGGAACAAGGTGTGTTAAAGTACAGATCTGCATCTAGGCAAACATATATAGCATTCAACAGGTTTCATGCTGCTTTTATCTAGGTAAAATGTATTGTTATAAAAATTATTTTGAAAGCAAGGGTTAAAAAGTGGCTTTGTAGCAACCACATTAAGAAGTAGGGCTGTCGTGAGACTGGAAAAAAAGCACCAGGAATAATTTTTTTAAGATTTCTTTCCTCACTAATTATAATATTCACATGCTAGATTCTCTACCCTACAGGTCCAACCTACTGCCATAGAATGTTTTAATTATGAAAGAAGTAGGTTCATCCACTGGGGAGGGGTATCCATGCACATGAAAATGTCACACTTTCCTTTTATTGACTATATACCTGTGGTTCAAGTCTCCCAAATGCTAATCATTTCAGCAATCTAGTATCACTACAGCATCATGCCAGGAGCGCAATTCATTTAGTCTCGGCAAAAATTACATGCCAAATATTAAATAAACAATGTCCACGGGGAATTCACTCACATTATTAAATTACATGAAGTGATCTGGAGTGTGCATGCGCATGTATGAAGGTTTTCCCCCTGCCCTCCCTTTTCCCTCTCAAATCTACATTTTGAGATTGCTTCACATTGCTACCTTACCACGCTAAGCAGTTCTTCACAATCCACTTCAGAACCCTTTCACAACAGCTATGTTAACATGCGAGCCTCCCACTCCCTTCCCTTTCTAACCCCCCCCCCCCCCGAAAGCATGCCAGACCGATATAATGCCCTCTATTTCCAACTGGGTCTTTCATATAGTGCTTTTTTAAAAAGAAAACACACGCGCGTGCAACTTATGACTATATTTTAGGTTTGTCAGATACCAAAAGAGGATCTAATGGGAAGGCACACACAAACACACAGCGGCAGAAGCAGAGAGTCAGATGCACCCCGAAGAAGAGAAAACATTCAAAGCCTTTCTGAAAGCCATGTACCATTTCCTCAAGCACCACCACTACGGACTCCCACCCACCCACCTACCTCGCTTCTGTACATACAACAAAACACAGGGAGGTCTGTACAGTGTGCCTCGTCGTAAATAACCATAAAGACACACCCTCCGGTCTCAACTGACCACAGTATTACCCCTCCCGTTCCCCGCCACCCTTCACGAAACAGAAGCAGAGGTGGAACTGACTGGAGGAGGTGGGGGAGACAAGAGGAGGAAACCTCGTTTGGTTCAAAAGTTTAAAAGGAAAAAGGGGACACGGTGGAGGTGGGGGGCCCCCGAGAAGGAAGAGCCCGATGCCCCAGATCCGAGGCTTGCCGGCGATACAATGTACCAGAGGCTGCTCGGTCGGTGCCTCTCGCAACAGTCAGTGCCCATTTCCTGTAAGAGCCAGAGAGGCTCTCGCTTCTCCTTTCTCCATTAAGGCGAGGAAGGCAGGCAGGCAGGCGAGGGAGCCACCGGCCCCCTCCAGGAGGCGCCGAACCCGCCAGCCAGGCTGCGCTCTTACCTGGATGTAGTTGTTCTCGCAGTAGTCGGCGACCCTGGTGAGGTTCTGGTAGCTCTCGAGCAAAGCCCGCTTGCCAGAAGGGATTTCCTCCTCTAGTAACATCTGCAGCTCTGCCATTTTCCACCCCTCCTCATCGCTTCCTCTTGCATTAAAGAGACAGCGGGAGCGCCACAAGCTTCCCCAACCCGCCTGGTATTGTGGGATTCCTCCGCCTCGCCTCGCTTTCGCGAGAGAGACTTGGCTGCTTTCTCCACCCACCCGCCCGGATCGGCCTCCCTCCCTCCCCCCGCCTCCTCCCGGGCTGTGGGAAAACGCCGCCGCTAAGCTTGCCGGGAGTTGTAGTTGTAACTTTCCCTGCCCCGCATACCCGCCAGTCCCTGCGCTTGGAGTGGGAGCGCGCGGCTCCGGCTCTGCCTGGTGGATCTACGTGGGCAAATGCGGGAAATGCTGAAGGGAGAAAGACGGATTCTTTGCAGTATTCGTTTTTGGCCTAGGTGGGTCCAGTTACGTTGCCCTTAAATCTGGCAAAATAGAAGCACTCCCGAGCAACAATATCAGAACACACTCACGCGGGAGACAGGACACTACAAATTATGTTACTATTGTGGCTTACTGTGTTTTTCACCCTCGCAAGAGTTTGGCACCAGTGGGATTCATCACGGAATGTACAGCGTTTCAGTTAATATCCAGTTGATGTTTTAATCTAAAAAGGCGCAGGAGGAGCAAGCCTGACTGAATGACAAGCTTGAGAAATAGATTTGTTGTTGTTCAGTCGCACAGTCGAGTCCGACTCTTTGCGACCCCATGGACCAGATCACGCCAGGCCTTCCTGTCTTCCGCCGTCCTCTGAAGTTGGCTCAATTTCATGTTCGTTGCATCTATGACACTGTCTAACCATCTCATCCTTTGCCGTCCCCGTTTTCTTTGACCTTCAATCTTTCCCAGCATCAGGGGCTTCTCCAGTGAGTGCTCCCTTCTCATTTGGTGGCCAAAGTATTTGAGCTTCAGTTTCATTATCTGGCCTTCCAGGGAACAGTTAGGGTTGATTTCTTTTAGGATTGACTGATTTGATCTTCTTGCAGTCCAAGGGACTTGTATAGCTTGTAAATTGTTTTCTGCTGGATCTTCTGGGTGGTTTATATAAATAACTAGTTCCTAGTGAAGTGCAGAAGCAAGGTATTTGTGCTGTTCTCCTAACATTCTAGTTTGAACTATTGAAATATATCTACTTATTACAAAAACAACATCTGGTATTTTGGGCCAAAGATATACACGTTGTTTGTCATTATTGTTTACTTAATGCTAACCACAACCCACAGAAAATGGAGACAGTTTAATATACCACTGGTATGTAGAAAAAATTGTCTTTGTAGATTAAAGAAAACCCCAAAAGCAAGCCTAAAGGGGACTCACTGTACTCCATGTTGCACAGAACATACAAGGCAGTTAGGAATCATCTGAAGGAGGGGAAACTAGAAATTAGGAAAGTGGTGTGTTCAAGCTTTAAAATGTCCTGGAGAACAAGAGTTGAAGGAGAGGCATTTTCAAGTAATTTCCTTCCCAAGAATTCCTCATAGATCCCCAGCTTGTTCCCACTAAAAGGAAAAGTGATGGTTGACTACCTATCATAAAGACAGCCCATTCACAGATAAGTTAGTGTTTCTGCATATTTGACTCTCTCTTTTGTGCAAATATGCACAAAAGCACCCCTTTGCCATACAGGCGGCAGCAGCAAGTGGAGCAGGAGCAAGGCAGGAATGGTGTCTTCATACCCCTTCCCTGGACCATTTGCCACCCCCACTCCTCCCCCTTTCCCTCTCTGCAAAAGCACAAACACAATAGAGATTGTGCTGAATCCTTCCCAGCAGCCTGGCAGCCCCCCTTTCCTTTCCCAACTGAGCCACAGTGTAAAGTTTTCACTGTGGCTCAGCTGGGAAAAGAAAAGGGGGGAAACCTAGGGTTTGCCAGCTGCTGGTTGAGAAATTCCAGGAGATTTTGGATGGATTTTAGGATGGAGCGTGAGAGGAAGGTGGGGTTTGGGGAGATGAGGACCCCCAGCAGGGTAAAATACAAAACAGTCCACCCTCCCAAAAAGCCACCCTCTCCAGATGAGTTGTTATTCTGGGAGATCTTCAGGCACTACCTAGACTTTGGCAACCTTGTCCTTAAAGGACAGGGGGGGGGCGGAATGTAGCATTAGCTCTGTTGTTTTGAAGGTGGTGTTTCGCTCTGCCCCCTTTCTGTAGTGGCTGCAGGTGGAGCATCCACATGGAGCCACCGTGCAATTTCTCCTGTGATCCAGATCAAAGAAGGTGTTTCTTTGAACTTGTTCAAAGGGGAAAGCCCCAGGGACCCCATGAGCCATGTTCAGAATGAGCAGGACATTGTATCAATGTTCTTATTTAAACTGGGGGCTTCCTGTATTCCCCTTCTCATGTGGAAGCGGCCTTGTACGTGATGTGAGCATCTTGCAAAGCTCCCGGGCTTGTATAGATTTTGGAAGCACAAGTGGGAAATACAAAGTCAGTAGCTGCTCTCAGCAGCTCTGAGTGATAGGGCTGCAGTAGGGGGAGAAAACAGGAATTTAAATCAGTAGTACAGAAAAACAGCAGTCTTGAGTACAAACCACAATGAAACATTTAGCACTTGATCACCATGGGGACTGGTAGCCAAACAGATGGAAACTCATTTTTCAAGTGCCAGTGGGGACTGATTTACACTGGGCCTACTGAGTGGTGGCTCTGAGGTTACGACGCTGAACTGCAGACCAGAAGGTCAGCAGTTCGAGACCCTAGTGCAGCGTGACAGAGTGAGCTCCTGTCTCTGGCCCCAGCTCCTGCCAACCTAGCAGTTCGTAGCAGGAACTCCTTTGCATATTAGGCGACACACCCCTAATGTAGCCAATCCTCCAAGAGCTTACAGTAGCCCCTGTAAAAAGAACTCTGTAAGCTCTTGAAGGATTGGCTACAATAGGTGTGTGACCTAATATGCAAAGGAGTTCCTGCTACAAAAAGAGCCCTAAAATAGGTACTGCTTCAGTGGGAAGGTAACAGTGTTCTGTGCGCCTTGGCGTTTAGTCTTGCCGGCCACATGACCATGGAAACGTCTTTGGACAGCGCTGGCTCTTCAGCTTGGGAAAATAGATGAGCAACCGCCCCCTGGAGTCGGATTCGACTGGCTTTTGAGCAAGGGAAATCTTTATCTTTACTGGGGGTGGAGGGCTCCAGCCAACCTGAAACAGCCCCAGGAGGGTGTTGTTTGCCCCATGAGAGGCTGCATGTGCACTGAATTTGCCCCTCAGAGCAGATAACACCGCAGGGGATGTTTCAGGTTGGGAAAATGGCATCAGGGTGGGGGGGGGGGGGGGGGCTAGAACCCCTTTCCTGGCCCTGCAGTGCTTTTGAATTCAATTCTGACGGGAAACTCACAGCTGCTATGAGTCCTTGCGGCGATCACATATTAAATGTAACATGTAGTTTGTTTAACAACAAGTGATAGGAGACGTATGAGCGGGATGGTATTTCTTTCACTGCAATTCTCCTTTCACCCGTGGTTGTAAGGGTGCCCACCATCATGTGGTTTAGGGAACTAGGCAGGGCCATTGTGAAGGCAGGACCAGTGACTGGCTACCTTCATACAAATAAAAGGGTTGTCTGCCTTGGTCTCCTCTGTTTAGTTGTGTGTGTGTGTTACCCTGCTCACCATGGTCTTCTGTGTGTGTGTGTTTTATCCTCCCTTTCACCAACTGGTTGTCGTCATCTTATATGTGTGTTTCATCCACCTTCGGCTTCTTCTCTCTCTCTCTCTTTGTGTTTATGTTAGGGTTGCCAGGTCTGGGTTGGAAAATATCTGAAGACTTTGGGGGGTGGATCCAGGAGAAGGCGGAGGGGGAGGGGCCTCAGCAGGGTACAGTGCCATAGAGCCCACCCTTCAAAGCAGCCATTTTCTCCAGGGGAGCTGATCTCTGTCAGCTGGAGATCAGTCTCAAAAGCAGTAGATCTCCAGGCCCCACCTGGAGGCTGCCAACCCTAGTTTATGTTTCAGATTAACCTTCTTCTTGTGTGTATATGTGTGCATAGTAGCATTGCCAACCTCCAGGTGGGGGCTGGGGATCTTCTGGAATTACACCTGATCCCCGGACTACAGAGATTAGTTCCCCTGGAGAAAATGGCTCCTTTGGAGAATGGATTCTGTAGCATTATACCCCACTGAGGTCCTTCCCCTCCCCAAATCCCACCCTTCCCAGGCTCCAGCCCTAAATTTCCAGGAATTTCCCAACTCAGAGTTGGCAACCATCTCAATGTTGGCAACTGAACTCTACCTAGATCTCTACCACTGTGGTCCTAAACAGAATTACACCCTTCTCAATCCATTGAAGTCAATGGTCTTTGAAGGGTGTGACTCTGTTAAGGACTGCACTACTATTTCCTTCTGGTTCTCTGCAGTGAGCGGCTGCGTGTTGCTCCCAACCCCACTAAAATGCAAAATGGTCCTTCTGGTTGCAGGCCTGTAACCTTTACAAGAGTACATTAAGATCTGTACTACATACGATTACCGGTTTGTGTTTTGTCTTTTTGTATTTTTTGCTATTGCCACTAATTGGCATTCTCACTGGTGATTTCTGCAGAAAGAGAAGAAGCCAAGGATTCTGGGAGTGCCTCGAAACTGAATGTCCTGTCACAATCCTTTTGATGTTCTTTCCATATGAAAATCAATCAGCATGGAGCCATAAGCAAAGCAGATGGTGAGGTTTTGTAGTCAAGGCTGCCATCCTAAACTGCACTGTGCTAGCTACAGAGTCACAGTCCTGGTAACATTATAAAGAAGTATTTGTAGCGGAGAAGAATATGCCTTACTAAAAACTCCTGTGATGTTATCAGGATTCATAGAGGGTTTTCAACATTTCCACTCTGATCTTAGTTCTTCAATATTAATTCTGCCCCTTCACAACTGTGAGAAATGTCTCAAACGCGCTACAGTGTATGCGGAATGCCTCTAAATTACTTTATTCCAGATTAATGGGATCTGTTTAGTGTCACATTTTGACTGCAGGTAGCTGCATTGCATACAGCGGGACTTACTTCTTAGTAAATATGCATTAAGGTTGGATTATTAGTGTGATCTGGACGCCTTATTTATTTGTTTGTTTAAAACATTTCTTAGCCACCATTCTACATTACAGAACTCAAGGCAGTTTACAATGTAAATAGAACACAAGGCATAAAAATACA